CAAGAGTCTAAAATCGCCAAAAACTAAATTCCACTTAACCACATTCCTAAATTAACTACCCACTAAACCTTCTACCTTCCCTAGTTATTCTTCTTAATGGTAGTTACAACGTCATTAACTGTCCAAATTCCTTTTTCAAATTACAATCATTTGTTTCCCTCTATTTTGCAAGTCAAAACCCGACCCGTCATCCTTCCGAATCGGGTTTGGGGGCAAGTTGTTTATGTCTAATTCAGTTAATCTAATTGGGCCGACCCAAATGATTTAATTACAAAAGCCCAAAAGCAAGGTTCAACCCTTCAAAGCATGCTAAAGTCAATCAAGCCCAATCATCATGGAAAACCCATCTGACTTCAAAGGCCCAATCCTCCTCTATTGAGCAAAGGTATAAAAACCATAAATAGTCTCATTTATCATTCATGCACATTAAGCCTCAAGCAACTAACTCTCTTGTATAGCTTATTTTTCTCACACTGAACTGACTTTAGCATCGGAGGGGCCTTCCTCGGCAACCACCCCTGAGGCTAGTTTACGTGTGTTTGCTGTGCAGGAAAATCCTCGGCCCAGTCACTACTTGGACTGAGACTAGTCTTCTCCCTTGAAAAGGGCCTGCTGAAGGTCCTATTGTTTTCATCCAAAACAGGCGCAAAACTAGCCATCAATTACACCTCTCCATCCTCCAAAACCTACGTCGATCAACTCGTCTCTCAATTAAACTCCACCACCACAACCACTTTACGCGCAATCGCCGTCCAAGCCGACGTCTCCGATGAAACCCAAGTCAAAACCATCTTCAACACCGGCGAACAAACCTTCAACACTCAACCCCACATCGTCGTCACCTCCGCTGGCGTCTTCGATTCCAAATACTCCTTACTCTTTGACATCGAAGCAGCCGATTTTGACCGCATATTTTCCGTCAACACCCGCGGCACCTTCCTCTGCATCAAGGAGGCATCCAAGAGAATCGCCCGCGGCGGTGATGGGAGAATCGTGATAATGTCGTCGTTAGTGGTGGGGTCTTTGAAGGAGAAGTATGTGGCAAATTACCCTTGCAACTCGAATGCCACTCTGCTCTGAGAGTTTAGTCGAAGTTCAGACTGTAGACTAGTAGTAAAACACTAGTCCACTGTCTGTGACTATTGTAACAAGGCTTAGATTTATTCAATCGTGGAGTCACTAGAGTACTTGGTTACATTATGGAACTTTACTAGAAGGACCAGAAAATATAGTCACTCTTCTTTTATGACACTACTTCAGTGACTTCTTAAATGACACAAATACAGGGTAGCCAGAAAAACATCTCAAATCTTAACCAGATAATACCATAGTAGATTACTGGACAATTACAAGATCCATCACAAACACTTCTACACACATATCTTGGGATATTTCTTGTTCTACATGTTTTCTGATTCAGAGAAACACTGGTAGCAGATATACAAGCAAGTTTGTAAGACCTCAAAGCATGAGGTTATGTACATATTGATATTATACTCATCGTAAGCAATCAGGAGACCAAACATCCATCTTATGGCTAGGCCATCTCATCATCTACTATTAGACTATGAGGAAGGGAGAAATAAACTCTATGCCTCACTCATCACTGCTAACTGATGAGGTCCTCTATTCTGTCAGCAACATTGACACTTCTTGATTAACTGGAGGTGGAAGCTACAAATTAGAAAGGTTGATAATTATAAGAGAATGGTTATAGAAGCAGACAACACAAACATTGAGCTGAATCTTGCCTTAAAAAGTTACTATATGAACCAGCAAATAGAGAACGTGCAAATTTTGGTCAACTTTCAAGAATTCAACAGCAATTCTACAATGTTTTAATTAAAGCAATGCCCATCAGTCAAATAAATCAACAATTAGCCAATCAGGTAACCATGCTTCACTTCATTGGGAAATCCATGGATGATGGAAATGCGTTTGGTATCAAGTATTGCATACACATAGCTAGCTTTTTTGCTTAGACTGATAATAAGTAACTATATGCTCAACACTAATCAGTGGCATCATAACTTTCATTATTATTATAAAGCAGGAAAACTTGAGCTCAACTACAAGATTTTGCTTTTATTATCAAACATGTTATTCCCCTAAAAAAAAAAACAATCAAACATGTCATTCAATCTTCTACCTTCTAAAAGCTTAATGAAAAGATCACTCATTAATAATATTCCATGACAGTATGGTAAGAAAGAGCCACACAGGCTACCAAACAGCGAAAGTTCTCTGCAATTCAAGCATTAAGAAAAAAAAAATCACAAAAGTCCAGCCTCGCTACCAACCCATATTCCCTTTGTTGTGAGCACGAGAGACTAACACAATACATGCTTAGAATAAAATCCACTGGATCCTAACAATAACTTTTGATATATCAGGAGCAGCGTCATTGTCAGTAGTTTAAAGTGAAAACCATGATACTACCAATTAAATTGAATCGGATACACTCAACCTTGTAAAATGCAATGCCAATCCACATGCAACAAAAGAAGATAACATGGATGTACTTTTAAACATATGAAAGATTCTTTATCAAGTCATTAGCACGTCTAACTTTTGATTGCCATTAACATTACAGGGCTCAAACTAGACATGGAAGCCAATAACACACAATATAAAACATATTCTAATATTGGGAAATTTGTGATTCCTAATTAAGGCCAATCTAATCTTGATATAATGAACATAGAAAGGAAAGCTTCGTATACTTATTACACTAATCAATGTCAATACTAAATGAACTGATAACATGAAAAGTGTCATTTATGACACATATTAGGGCGTTTTTCTCCCTTAGTTTTAGGCTTATTTCGGTGTTTCTTTGTTATTTCTATTCCTCTTAGTCTTGTTTCAGTTATCTTTGTCTTAGTTTATGGTTTTAGGCCTTAGTTGTGAATAATATGCTTTTTGCTCAGTTTCTAGCTTGATTTGCATGTTTTTCTATGTGTTCTTTCACTCTTTTCTCTCTTGGTCTATTTGTGTAGGTTCTTGATGCTTTCTTCGATGCTTATGACCCGAGAAAAGGCAAGAAAGTTCAATAGATGAAGCTAAGAAAGAAGCTAAGAAGCTTGAGACAAGAAAGCTTGAAGCTCGTAGAAGGCCTTAAACCGAGTCTTGTTCACTCTTTCAGCCATACCTTTTGATCTACACATCGGATTGAGGCGATTCAAATTGCGTTGGAAACTAGAGTTGAAGAGCTTTCCAAAGGTATGTTGCACACCCCAAGAAGCTTCCTAGAACATAATTTATGGCCGTTTGAATCTACAAGACGCTGCCAGGATCCGTGGGCGCGGCTATTTGTGCTGCAGGCGCGACTATTTTTGCCGCGGGCACGGCCCTCTGCTTTCCTCAACTTTGCAATTTTCTGGAGATTCCTCGGAGATGCCTTGCCGCGTTCGCGGCTCTGGGTAACGCGGGCGCGGGTTTCTGGGTCTTGTTCGAGCTTAATTTCCGGATTTCTTTCTTTCTCTTCTTGTAATATAAATATAGGACTTCTTAGACTTCCTAAGGGGGGAAGTTTTACATTTCCTCTCTCCTCTAATTAGGATTAGGGTTAGATTATGATTTTCTCTCTCTAGTTTAGGAGTAGTTTTAGAGAGAGAAAGCTTGGATTTCAATGGAGATTTAAGAGCTTGAAGAAGCAAATTTTGTGGATTCTCTTCTTATCTATTCAATGAGCTTTTCTAACTTTCTCTCACCTTTATTGCTTTGTTTAATTCTTGTTTTTGCTTATTTCATTGTTGATTAGAGTAGTTAATTAGTTTACTTGTTTGATTCTTGCTTTAATTCTAGTTTTACCTTGTTTTCCATGTTTTACATGTTTTCCTTCATTATGTTTGCTTAGATTTTGTTCTAGGGAAATGGATGAAGGTTATGTTAATGAATTGAGTGATTGGTTGTAATTAGTATGCAATTGATTCTTGATTATTGTGTTTGGATGATGCTTACATTTACTAGAATCTTTTTAGCTAATTGATTCTTGGTTCTTAATTGTGTTTTCAATCAATTGTGTGGAAGTGAGTTGATTGAGAGTCTAGATTCTTCCATACCTTTTCTAGGCTAGTTGCGCGGGAGTGAATTAGCTTAGTAGGATAATTAGCATGCTTAATTGCGCGGGAGTGAGTTGAGTGTGTTAATCGTTCCTAATTGAGATCATGATCATCTAATTGCGACTTGTTATTGAATTCATTAATGTAATTGGATTCCCTTTTCCCTATTATCTTGTTAATTGCTTTAATTAGTGTTTTAGATGTTTCTCTCCCTATCTCACAACCTTCCTACTAGTCTAATTACCTCAAATTAATACACTTAGTCCTTGTGGTTTGACCCTAGCTTGCCACTATCTAGTGTGAACTTGATAGAGTTAGGTTAGGATTATAAATTGTAAATTTGATCTAGGGTAGCAGACCAACGACCTATTGTCCCCAGATCATAACAACAATGTTAAGCTATTAAAACCAAAAGAAGTCCATATCCACTAAATATGTGCTAGTCATGTTTCTGATGAAATCAGGTTCCGCAGTTGAAAAGTCTGTAGGTTTAATTAAAACACTTAATCAAGAATCAAAACTTGCTATAATATAGTAGACACAATATATAGCAAGTTTTAGCATTATTTCTACTATTACTTGACAGTAAACACAATATCAGCAACAATAATCCAAAGTCTCAATTGTTCAATCTAGGTTTGAATTGTTCTTTATTTCTCATTGTTTGACCAAAACAACCTTCCTTAAAACGAATTCAACCAGATTAACAAAAGATAATCTTCTCATATGATAAATTAGTGATCCACAAGTATCAACCTAAGTCAACGCTATCATGAACTCGAAAATAAAAGACGATCGACTTAACTCAGCTAAATCAATCCACAACACATAGCATAATTACTAAAATAAATCACTATAATTACAATTCTTTAGCAATATGAACGAAAAAAGCAAAAACAATTACGTAGTAAATAACGATCATAAAAGTAAGAATACCTCAAACATCATATTCCAAGAACGAAGGTGTCCGCGAGAAGTGGAAGAAGGACGACAAGAATGAACAGTCTCAAACTGATGAACACTGAAGATTCTCGAAGACTGACGGATGATATGGTGATGGTGAGTCAGCCAAGGAGAAAGAAGATGGTGGAGAAGATGAAGAGGAGGAGACAGAAAGTTGTGAGGTAGGGTTAAGCAGAAGCAAAAGCCATTAATGAAGATTAATGATTAAAGAAGATGAAGGTTTGTGTATTTGAAATTCAAATGGGAGAGAAAAAAAGTGGATATTCTTGGAATAAAAGGAAGTGTATGGGGAGATACGGATGACGGATAAACAAATGCCGATATCAACCATTTTACAAGTTGAACGGGTTTCTATTACAAATCATAATGAATATATCAGCATATTCTCATAACGGCATAACTAACGGTCGTCCGACGAGCAACACGTGGCGTCGGGCAACCAACACGTGGAATGAATGCTACTTGCAAGGCATCAGATGGATCTTCTATAAATAGGTAAGTTCATCCTTCATTAAAAGATATTATTTTTTTACATACTCTCTCTCTTATTCTCTCTCTTAATATCTTCTCTTCTTCTTCTTAAAACACTTTCTGACTTTACCATTGGAGTGGTTATCCCCGGATTCACCCCGGGGTTAGCTAATCCTTATTTCTTATGTAAGTGCTTAGCTGGATGATAGGGTCTTAACGGATTCTGAATACGGGTTGTCGGGTTATATTCGGAACAATTTGGCGCTAGAAGGAGAGGGAAGTGATTACTTCTATCGCCTAAGAACTTAACACAGAAAAATTATGACTTGAAATAAAGAAACACCTGTAAATATAACGAAATAAGAAAAACTGTAAATTTGAATGTGGCAACCGGAAAGGGTACAGGTATCCCAGAAGTTGAAATAGATGAGACTTATACCTTAGAAGAAAATCAATTTAATATGCCGATAACACCTGAACGGTTGAATGATGCAATACCAGACTCGTTGGCTGAGTTTACTTTGGAAGAGCTGGAGTTGACAGCCAGGGTAATGAGGGCAATGAGAAGAAAAAGGAAAGATGTCGGAACCGGCAATGAGCAGGTCAGGACTAAGGTGCCGATAGTCAATCTTGACAACCAGTTTCGCAATGCGACGGGTTCGCCTAAACGTTCATCTCGGGAGGCGTCACTAGTTGGACGCATACAACCAATCAGGAAACGAAGGTATAATCCTCTAGTCATGTTGTTAACTCGAGGACCCAAAAGTAGAGAACTTCACAAAGTGCAGGGCAAGGTGCGACACGAGCAATTGTAAATAAAGCCAAGGGCCTCACCGTTTACGCATGAAATCCTTGATCAGCTGATGGAAAAGATTAAGATGCCGATGTGCAGGTATGACGGTACGGGTGACCTAAATTGATACATAACATCCTATGAAGGGCACATGATCCTATACACAAATTCTGATGCCGTCTGGTGCAAGGTTTTCCGAACTACCTTGACCGGGGCAGCTTCGGATTGGTTTTCCAACTTGGGAAATGGGACAATTGACAGCTTTGAGAAGTTGACAGAGATGTTTGTAGGATAATATATCAGCAATAGTGTCCGGCAAAGGACTTCAGGAGAGTTGATGGCGGTGGAGCAAAGGCCGGATGAGTCTTTAAGGGACTAAATCAAGAGGTTCAACAATGAAGCAACTACAATTCCGAAGTTATAGCAGGAAATTGCAGTTATGGCGTTGATTAATGGCCTTAATAATTATGAGTTCAAACGGTACCTGACACGGAAAAGTCTCCCAACGTTAGCAGCGGCCTTTAATGAGGCTCATGATTACATAAAGGGGGAAGAGCTTTTGAAGACAAGTAACAGAGCTGTACCGACAGAGAAAAATCAATTTCTCTTTGACGGCGTAGTGTTTGGAGGTAGTAAGCCCAGAGCCACAGGTCCGGTGAGAGGAGGTTGCGACCGGCAAGAAGGAAGAGGTGTAAGGGCACCAGCACGATACAATACTTTTACCCCATTGAACACACCAAGGGCCACCATCTATTCAGGGAATTAGAATATAGAAGATTGGGTAAGACCGGCGCCGATGAAAGCAAAGGGAAGAGATATGAAGAAGTATTACATGTTTCATCGCGATGTTGGCAATTACACTAAAGAGTGCACACAACTGAAGGATAACATATAAGAGTTGATTAGAAAAGGGCACTTAACTCAATACCGTTTGCATTCGGGGGGGAATTCAACAACCGATAGCCCCTCGTCAGATTGAATATTGCCAACCAGAGACCAAAAATGATAGGCAGCAAGCCGGGGTAAATCGGTAAGGAGATGGGAGGCAACCACCATCATCATCTGGAAGGAATATAGTGGTTGAGGTGATTACCGGTGGGCCGGTTCACGGGGGGAAGATTAGCGGTGCGAGAAAGAGTTTGTCAGAACATCGGCATATAGTGAATGCACTAGATGCTGAGAGCCATCCTCAACCCTTCGACATTCCTAGTTTCACCTTCTCAAAGGAGGACGCAAAAGGAGTTGCTTTTCCTCATGATGATCCTTTGGTACTAATACTTATGATAAATGGAGCAGAGATAAAACGGATTTTGGTTGATAGAGGGAGTTCACCAAATATCTTGTTCGTGAAGGATTATGATGCAATGGTGATAGGGAGACAGTTGAAATGAATGGTGTCCTTCCAACAAGTATATTATTCTGATAGAAGGTTTTGGAATTATTAAAAAACTAATTCTTCAGTGAGGTCAAGTGATCGGAGTGCCTAGGTGGAGGCCGCTTCCGATCAGTAATATTAATGGGCCAAGTAATTAATATTACGGCTTAATTTTGACTGAACCCTAAGGGTCACACCCCAATGGAATAACCGATCTGAGATGACGAATTAATCCGAAGGATTGGATGAGTCATTAGAGTATTACGAAAAAAGACGTTAGATATCGAGCTTAGAGCGTCGAAACTGAGCGTCACAAGTCAAGTCGAATTTAGAATTCGACGAGACGTAGAATCAAGCAAGCGACAAGTATGAGCCAAGCAGTAGCCTCGCATTGGCCTAGCCATGCGAGTGATAGACTAGGCGAGGGCACCAACTGCAAGCATGCTAGCGCGGTGGGCATCGCACCCAGCCACACGCATAGTCGCAGCTAGGCTGCGCTTAGCATGCAATCATCGCAAGCATAATGCTATACGTATGCGTGCTATGGCTGTGCATGCTTGCTAGCATGCTAGGACAAGCACCCAGCCCCTCGCAGCATCGCAGAAGCATCGCACTCGTACAACACAAGCATCGCAAGCAGCATGTTGTGTGTGCGTGTGATGTGCGTGCTTGCTAGCGTATCAACACTAAGCAGCAGCAGCTGGGCCTCGCACATCGCTATCACACGCAGCAGCAGCAGCAGGCCGCATTGCGTGGCTTGCGTGTTGCGCCATTGCGTGTGTGGGCTGGGCTCAGCCAAGGCTGGCAAGTAGACAGCTGAGCATTGGAAGCCAGCTCACGGTCATAGGGATGATTAGTCTTGGTGCTTTGCTTGGGGAGCAAGGAGCTTTGGACCCCCCCCCCTTTGGTGGTCCTCACCTACCCATGCTCTCCAAATGCCATTTGGAGCTTGTTGATTTCTTTGCATTTTAATTTGTTTTTTATTAAAATAAATTGAGAAAAAAAGCAATTCTCCCACATTGATGGGGAAAAGGGAGATCAAGGCTCCTTTCCTTATAAATACCCAAGTTTTGGGTTTAGGAAAAATCACTTGAGTTGAACTCAATAAGGCATTCCTTGAAAGTGAGAAAACTTTTAAGTTCACTCTAGTTTTTCTGTGGTCAAGTCCCGACTAACCTTCGAGATAAAGACCGCTTGAGTCGGGTCGAGGGTGCGAGTCGTCGGAGACTTTCGCACTTGCAAGGCTAGAGCTTTGAAGTAAGAGCTCATAAGCGAACGAAGCACGCGTCGAGGGTAAGAATGTCAATTCTCTTTCTCTCTCTTTTGTTGTTCAATTATGTGATTGCATGTTTAGTTGATTTAATTAGTGGGCGGATCTTGGGCAGGTTTCATTCCGCGCAGTGTTAGACGCTACGAAACCCAACAGCGGTATCAGAGCCGCACTCACTTTAATTATTATGACTAATAATTAATTGAGGTGATTCATAATGGATTTAAATTTCTGGTTTTGCTTTCTAATTAGATTAGAAGTTCGTTTAATTAGTTTTAATCTCGTATTTATATTAATTTTGGCCAATGAACCCAGATTTCGACCTAAAAATAGTGAGTTTTGGGTGAAATCGATGTTCTTAATGGTTTTTGACACTCTTTAAGGCCTGTCCAGAAGCCAAAATCCACCCAAAAACATGTTTTTTGAGGGGTTTTTCGTTTTTGATGAAAATTTTTAAATCTTTAAACCTTGATTAATTATGGCATGTTAAAGGTAGATTAAATGTGTGGTTGCATCACTAATCTACTGCAATAATAAACCTTGTTAAGCATGTTTATGGACTACTAGAAAAACTGAAATCAGCACCTCCCTTTTCGCACCGGTTTTTAAAAATAGGCGGGATTGAGGGCAAGAGTTTTCGCACCGGATCCAACCAAACCGATGTGAAATTATATTATTAGCACCGGTTCAAACCGGTGCGAATTAAAAAAAAAAGGAGGGGAAAAGTTTTCGCATCGGCTCAAACCAAACCGGTGCGAAATAATGTTTTAGCACCGGTTTAAACCGGTACAGAATTTTTAAAAAAATTGGGCTCCCTCTTCTTCTTCTTTATTTCCCCTTGCTTTTCATTATTTCTGTTTTCCCTCCCAAATTTTCGCCCTTGTCTTCCACCACCTCCGAATTTTTTCATTCTCCATTGAAGCGGTTTCTGAGCTTTACTCATGCTGCACCTCCTTCTCTCTCCATATCTCTCCTCCATTGAACCTTGTAGTGCTCTTTATTCTCCATTGAAGCAGCTTCGAGCTTTCTCACCTCCATTGAAGCAGCTTCGAGGTAAGATTTTTTCTTAGTCCTTTTTAAATTATCGAATTCCTTTGAAATCTAGGGTTTGTCATTGATTTGCTTTTCAGTTTAGTAATTTTAGGTTTCTTGTAATCTAGGGTTTGTCATTGAAGCGCACATGGCTCCCCTCAACCACAACGGCCTTCTTGTCACGGTGGCTCCCCCCGAACAGTGTTTGGTGAGCTTGCCTTTTCGGTTTCCTTTAATGCTTATTATAATGCCGGCTTGCTGTGAATTGAGTTATTTCCTTGTTGTAAGCTTGCAAATTTTTCATGGTTATTTTATGCATTTTTATTTTTTGTTAGAAGCCATTAAAGTGTATTTTATGAATCAATGTCTTTGTTACAGGAAAGCCATTAAAGTGTATTTTATGAATCAATGTCTTTGT